CCACGGGCGCGCGGGCAGAGCCGGCGCCGAAGTTAGCGGGCCCGGGATCCCCGGTGGCTGCCGAGCGGGCGGCGCTTGCGGGCACGGCGCGGGCTGCGCGCCCCGGGCTGTGCCTCTCCGCCGGGGACAGCCCTTATTTCGGGATCAGCTCGTTCCAGCCTGTGCAGGAAGCCTGTGCTGCACGAGCTGGATACATCCCTGCACGACCCACGGTGGGACAACGGGGAAGGGAACAACGACGGGGCAGGGCGAGTAGTTTCACTTCTCACGGCAGCGAGGTCTGGAGTTTCTTCAGTCCTGGAGCTACTTTACTCGCATGTTAGGCCCGGGCAGCTCTTGCTAGCAAACACTCCCCTGGATGTGAGAGTCAATTATAAAATCCATTGCAGTGAAATCCTCTTCCTTTTGCTCCTCCTTTCTCTTTAAAGGGAAAACAAGGTCTGTGATGGTGCTGGGGAGAGGTTGCTGCCGAAAGGAGAAGGGGGTTCCTGCACGCAGAGAAGTGAAGTGGTCTGGGAATTAGCACACTGACCTTAAACGTTGAGACACCGCAGATCCTCTCCAGAGCAGCGTGGAGGGGAAAAAAAAAAAAAAAGGCAGGAATGACCTCATCGGTGTTGGAGGCGTATCTGAGGCTCTCTGCCAGCTCACAGCCAACCAGATCTGAATGAAAATTGCAGCAAGCCTGTTACATCAGCAGAGCCCAGCATGCCCCTGCCCTTCCCGATACTGTCTTCAGCTGCCTGGGAACCGTCCTGCCTGGAGAGCGGCTCCCCGCTCTTTGTCAGGGGTGAAAGGATGAGGCCTCGGAGCCTGCCCTTTAAAAGACTTGTTATGGGCATGCAGGAAGACTCGCAGTGGGGGCAGAAAGCATGAAAGAAAATCGAGCAGTGTCCTACGTGGCTAAGTACCCAGGCCCAGATAGCCAGCAATGAAACTTTCCCCTCACTTGGTGTGCCCAGGGAGGCCAGGACCTGCCTCCTCGTGAGCGGGTGCGTTTGCGTTTTGTGAGGGCAGAGCCACAGCTCAGGCCTGCGCTTGCACGATAGTCACTGCATTGGGCTAAGCAGTTTCCAGAGCACAGATACTGTTCAGGGAACAGACTGACACAAAATCATGCTTTTAAAGGCTGTAAAACAAAGAAAGGATTCCTCTGAAAGGGGCTCAGTACCATCATTCATGTCCTGACCTCTAAGAAAAACTCTGTGCTGAAGCCCCCAGGACCCCCACTAACTGTCAAAGGTACCCTGAGAATTCTGCTTTTTGGTGCATACTTCCTGTATCCTGTATCTGTTGTTGCTGTGGTGATGATTTAAAGGTACAAGCAAGGGAAAGAAGAGGGAATAGCTGGTATTAAACTAACTGATTTAGCTGAAAAGAAATAGCAGCTCTACTCACAGCTTATCTACATGCTTACTTGCTAAATTAACTCCAGTGTCTGCTGTGACCAACATGTCCTAAAATAAATGAGCCAACTTAAAACTCAGTCCACATTGCAGGGACAGACATCTATAAATACTTAGATTTTGGGAGAGAGGATGCAGGTGCAAGCTAAGACATTTTTGTCCTATTTTTTTTAAAATAATCAGCAAGGAGGGAAAAAATAAACAAAACTAAACAAACAAACAAACAAAAAGAGCTATAAGTGAAGATAATTCTACTTTCAAATTTGGGAGATAGAAGAGGAAAAAAATGTAAAGCTAAAAGCTTGTCTTTAAACTCATCTTGCTTTAGAAACTAGGGTAAATGTGCATTTGCCATTTAGAGAACTTTTCCCTTAGACATTAAATGTCACTTAGACATTAAGGCCTGGAATCACTCCATCTGACTCAAAACATGGAATTATGAGAGTTACATCATGAGTGTAGTTGCTCTAGGCTCCCTGTATACCCATGGGAAGAAGCTGTTCCCCAAGGTCACTTAGCCTCATCAACACTCTGAGCGAATCTTGGAAGGATCCTCTTTCTACCCCATTTTATATTAGGAGACTTACTGTGACTCCAAATAGAAGGGATCAGTCACAATAGAAATGTCCTAACAGTAATTTAAACTGTTTAACACTAATCTAAACTGTTTACAAAGCTTGTTTTGCTTTGGGCTGTGTTGAAGTGTTTCATAGACAAGTCAGACTAGTTCAGTTTAACTGCTATAATCCTATTTCTAGTATCTGAGTACAATTCTGTAGCTAATCCTGCTGTCAACAGCCCCCCCAGTCTGAATGTTTAATGCTCTTTTGCCCTATAAAAGCTTTTATGAATTGCACCCAAACTTGTTACTCATGACATAAACGAATGCACCTCTTGAAGGATGACTGTCTGTAAATCACAATGTGATCTTTGATACGTTCTTAACAGATTAATAGATACAGGTGTGGTGGGATGGGTTAAAATGATCATAATGTCACCATCTAGCATGAGTAGAAAACCAAGAATCAGGTACAATGTTCGAAAATTGCTGGTATACCAGCTGAGGCTGCAGCTGAGAGGCAAAGATGGGCATTTCAGTCACCTCTTTTAGGTTCCCAGTTGCCAAAGTGGCAGTGCTGGACACTTCTAAGGGTTTCTGTGACACTCCTCGAGGGACAAGAACAAGAGAACAGCAGCACAAGAGAGAATTAGTGGATGTATTAAACATGGTGGTGGTATCCAGAGATCTGTCTGTTTGCACTGCTACTCATGAATCCCAGTTCAAATTAACACCTTTCCTTAATTTACTCTCACACACTTTCAAAGCCTTCTTAGCAACCCAGTAGACAATGGAGCTTTCAAATATATTTCACAGCTGGGCTGCCACATTTAATCTCCAAGATACGTAAAAGTCCTGTTTTCACATCATGTCCACCACCCCTGGATGCCCATTATGCTTTTTGACAACTTCTCATTTTGGATTTTTTATAGTGCATTTGCCCACATCAGGTTGTCACCATTATCCCATTCAGAGTACATTAGCCAAGACTCTATCCTTTTTAAAGAAGCATAAAATTTTAAAATTTTAAAAAATTTTAAAAACTAGAGACAGCATTTTATCAGGTCCCCGAGGTAGACAGAGGGTTTTCTGGAATGTAGAGAGTCACATTGCTCTTCTTCCATCTACAACAATAAATCACTTCTCTCATGGCTACTGGGGCTTTGTAACCTTGCACCTGGAGTGTCACAGGAGGCATTTTGATTGAAAAGTTACGTCACTTCCACCTGAGGAACTCACACAGAACACGGAGCTCAACGATTTCTGGTCTCACAGAGTATGGAGTTTGGGAGAAATTGAGGGCAGAAAAGCAACACAGGAAACTTTCAGGTAGCAAAGAGAGATGTCTTGTGCTGGGCCCTGAGTAAGGCAATGTGTGAAGTATTGTAACTTCAGACTGCACCATAGAAGAAAGGAAAAGTCATCATCATGGATATTTTTCAAACATTTAAAGGATTTTATCCAAAACAATGCAGATTTTTAGCTGAAAGGTAAATGTATGCTAGTAACCACAGGAAACAAAATTAATATTTGCATAGAGTTCACAGAGTCACTCTTGATTTCACACTTTGTCTCCCTTCTCATTGCAACTGTGTTTCTCAACTTTTGGACAATCCTTGGACATTTGTAACAGGGAGCAGCAAGAGTGGGCTGCTCCTGAAGGGATAGGGGCCTGGGGACTGAGCATAATATCACAGCTGGCAGCAGTGGGTGCCCAAACCTGAGCTTACATAGAGCTCCTGGGCCCATGGACAGGGGTGGGTGGAGGCCCCAGGTGACACTGGTCAGGGCCACTTGATTCTGATGCTCAGGACTAGGCAAGCAGATAAAAATATTATTACTAACACAAATTCATGGCAAATTACATATAATAATGGCTCCAGAGCAGGCAATGCATACAGTTAAGAAGTAGATTACAGAGGAACAATAATTTGCATTGTGTATTACAGAAACTAAAGACTTTTTGTTTCAGAGTTTTTTTCATCAGTAACATCTTTGGATTATTTACTTGCATCAAGTTACAATGATGTTTAGAAACCATAGGCAAGAGCAAGGATCCTCATATCTAGACCCTATATGAACATAAAAGAAGAACTTGTACCTACACAGTGAAAAGCGGTAATTTAAAGAGATGGTAAAGATGAATAGCAAGCGAGAAGATATATCAACAACTCTGCATCACAGAGATATGGGGAAGCAAAGTGACCAGACATCAGCCACGGACAAAATCTGCAGTTCAGTCAGGGACTGAAGAAAACTCAACTGAAGTTCAATGCCAGACTTGTAAACACCCTTTCTCATCTTGGGCAATCCCAAAGAAGGGGGCAGGAACTGACATTGTAAACTGTGATCCATAAAAGCTGGTGACAGGCACCACACAGGCAAGCATGGGACTCAGGATGGTGCAGCCCAGAGAAGGGGAGTTTGCTCTGGTGGGATCCCTAGAAGGTAACAAATTCTGGGGGCACCTCAGCCAGAGTCACCACACTGTGG